GTGTTTAAGAAATAAAAAAATTCTTCCTTTTGTTTGCTTAGAGTCAGGTTAAACTTGCCACAAATCGTGAGACTTTCCAGCTGAGGATACTTTGAAATCAAGAGATGCAGCCGGTCGCAGGCTATATTTTGAGTGGCCATGTATATCAACAGATGCTTGATGTTTGGAAAATGGCTCTTCAACTGAGTAAATGTTCGCTCAGTCCATGACATTGGTTTGACTACCATCAAGTCATCGCTTAAAGCTCCTTCTTCATTTTTTATTTGAAAGTAGGCATCGTTTTCTTGATTTCCTTTGAATAGCCCAAGTATGTAGGGCTCAAAATCATCTTCACAAGTAAACATCTTTAGTGAAAACGCGTGAGGATTCATCGTTAAAGTTTTTGTTGGCATCAAACGTTTTTCTGTTTTGGGCTAAGGCTCAATTCACGCAGATACATTTCTAGATGATCATATCTTGAAGCCTTTGGCAGCAGAACCGTTAAAAACTAGAGTTGAGATCAGCATCAATTTTCGGGGGTTTTGCCATCACCTAGCGCCATCTCCTGACGAATAATAAAAAACGCTGTTTACAAGTTCAGGATCACTTGAGGCGAAACTTACGGAACAATCACTTACGATCCATATCTAATCAGTGGAACATGTTGGGAGAGCCTAATTTCTGTGAAAAAGTAAAACATATGTTTATAAGTAATCGTCCAACTTTTCTTATAATGTTAGTCAAACAAAATGTCTATTGTTTTGAAGCCATGATTGTTTATATCGAAATGGAGCTTTGGTGGATTCCTGAAAAAATAGGGTTCAAAGTGATCAGAATATGCAGAGTCTGCATTGCAGACTACGCAAATCTAATCGAACACGCCGCTAAGTGACATATTTGTAAAATTTTAACAGTGAAAACTTTAAATCCGAATTCGCAGGAACCCCTTAAGGCTCCATTTAGGTATTCCCCAACACCACAACAGGTATCTTTTTAATCAGGGCGATCAGGGTTTCAAAACAATGTGTATTTTGTTTAACTAACATCATAAGAAAAAGGAGATAATTTTGTGTTTACTCTTTAGATTGAAAACATAGAATACAGATGTTGGTTTGACTGTCAGAAGAAGTTTGTAATGAATACTCCAAACAGTATGAGTAGCATATGCTACTCCTCAGAACGTTTTATGCGCACCTCGACTTAAAATCGACGTTCTAATCGAGGAAAAGGATATCAATCTTCAAATGCAACTAATGAAGAGAGGGCAAAAAGCTAAACAAAATCGATTGGCACATTTCACCCCAAAGGAACATCATCTTTTTTAAGGCACCTTATCTGGCATCCGAATTTTGTTTCTGCTGAGGATGCTCTTACAGCTCTCCAACTGTAACTGCGCTGCTTACCTTGCGACAGTTAGACTAGCATCTGGCGCCCTATGAGCAGCTCGCTCACTGTTTACTCGAGTTCATTCTCCTCGCCCGTCAGGACGGCAGCTCTGACCAGAATCTGCGTGCCAGCGGGTTCCCCTCCCTTGTGTGTGTGTGTGTGTGTGGATGCAAGCGTATCCACTGTCGCCGCATACTGTTCACTTTTTGTTGGTGTCAAGTGAACTAGAGAAGATGCAGCCTCCTCAATAATGGTCCACCATTCACCCTCATCGTCTCCTTCTTCTCTCCGGTCACAATCTCCTCCTTCTCTCCATCGCCCACTTCGTTTTTTCGCCTGAAGCTGCACTCGGGCACGTCTTTCTGTTACTGATTGGCGACAGCATCACCTAGCCGAAAGGTCAAACAACCAGCAATTTTTTTTACTAAAATCCGTTTGATCTCACTCTCAAGAATCATGGCCGATGCTGACGGCAATCCTGACAACCAAAAAGACCTCATGGAAGGTGTGATTGATCCTATCAAAGAAGAGGAAGGAGAAGAAGCTATTGAGGCGTTGGAGGAGGGGCAGCAGCAGGAGCAGCAGGAACCAGAGCAGCAAGATCCGATTCCCCCAGGTGCACAGCCCCCTGAACCGCCGCGTCAGATGAACAACCTCGAACTGATCAACGCCGTCATTGCGCCAGTGCCCAATCTGTCGCCCCGAGAACAGATTCACTTTCTCAATGAGATCTTTCGCTACGACGACGACGACACCTCTGACAACACCATCGAGTGCGACTGTTCGGATTGCGAAAGCGAGAGGAGGGCAATTGAGCGGGCAACCATCAGTCTGGACTCTGATGAGGAGTGCGACTGTACCTCCTGTTTGAGCAACTGTCGATGTGTCAGCTGTGCGGCCGAAGATCGCCATAACACGGGCAATAGTGCTCCCAAGTGCTTAAAACTGCTGAAACTCAAAAGCATCCAAGAAGTAAGCTCACAGCACGCTGAACCAGCACTTGTCCTGCAACTACCACAACCAAAGCCTTCGACAAGTGCAGCAGCTGCAGCTGTAGAAGTGCAAAACTAATTCTAGCAGAAATGGAACTCTCGGTCATAAAAAACTACCTGTCAATATAAACAAATCTAGCAGAACATTGTGTTTTAACTAATACGGTACGCTAGTAATCGATGCAATATTTCACATTTTGATTTTTAGTAGATTATTAGGTTTCTCTTTTGTACTGAACATGGTATCAATATGGTATCAAAAAGTAATGCAGTTGATAATATATAAAATAAGTTACATAAATAAAATAAATAGTTAAAATGGTAAAATGTATATGTGGTAGAGTAGTAGTCCCCTCAGTTGAAGAGCGGAGTGGAATGCTTCACCATGACCGTTTTGTGGCGTGAGTGCACCTCATTGACGTGCACGTGAATCTTCAGTCGACTTAGAGAACTGTAGGAGCAGCCGCTCCACTTGCACTGGTACACGCGATTGGCCTTTCGAAGGGGAGAATGGCCTCCAGTGACACTGCTGCTGCTGGGCGTGATGGTGGTGGTGCTGCTGGTGGTGCTGGTAGTGCTCTTATTCTTATCGGCAGCGACGCCCACACTTTTCAGCACCCGAACGTAGTCTTTGGGGTTGCGAAGATCGTCTGCCACCATCTCCCCCTTGAGGTGGACATTTCTGGTGTGTCGAATAACGGAGGAGTAGTTGTTGGAGGCGTAGTGACAGAGGCTGCACTGGTACGGACGCAGGTCAGAGTGGCACTTCACGTGCAGACTGTACACGTGCTTGTACGCAAAGCTCTTCCCGCAGTTGGGATAGTCGCAGGTGAACTGGATGTGACTCTGGCGGAAGTGCTTCATTGCCTCGCTCCGCACCGAGCCAGTCCAGTTGCAGCGGGGAAAGGCGCAGGCGATGACGCCCTCCAGGTGGTACTGGTTCGAGTGGTGCGCCAGACAGCTGTGGTCCTTGAAGACCTTCAGACAGAGGGCACACTGGAAGGAACTTTGATTGCTGTGCACCTGACCGAGATGTTCATTCAGCTCATGTCTAGAAAAAAAGAGAAAGATTAAGTTGTAGTGCAACTGTTACTAAAAATGGAACATGGAAAGAACTACTTACTGCGTAGTGAATGATGCTTTACATCGACGCTGAAAACACATGTACGGCAGAACGTGGTGTTTATTTTGCATGTGATGCTGAAGTGCTTCTCGATTTAGGAAAGTTTCTTTGCATGCTTTGTTTTGACACTTTAATGAAATGAACTGAATTTTGTTGCCCATTCTTTTGAAAGGCTGTTCAGTAGAACGAGTAGATTCGGAACTTTCTGGAAAAGTAAATAGTTCCTGATTCAGTTGATTCGTAGCACGACCGGGGCTGCCATTTTGAGATGCTTCCAGTTCCTGTTTGATTTCAACTATTTCATCAAAGTCGAGCTGTGGTTGACTGTCGGAGATATGTGTCACGTTAGAGAGTTGACTCGATTCATCACAGTTTTCCGTTTTAATTTGAATTTCTTCGGTTTCACTCTGGAAGTTCCTTTTTCTTTTACTGCATTCTTTGCAGCTACAAACTTCTTCTTCATCATCAGACGCGTTGAAGATGGACTCATCAGACAGTTGAATTATCTCCTGACTAAAAGCTGCAGGCTCAATTTCTGAGACGTTTTCTCTTTGAGGGGCGTTTACGCTCGGACGTTCATCAGTTGATTCGGGCTGCCGTCTCTCTTCAGTGCTCTCCAATAAGCTGAGCATATCGGTGATTCGAGATGACGAGTCGGGTATATTTTTGATAGCCCACGTCACCAAACTGGTAACCATTTGGTTGAATGTGCGATCCAGCTCGGTCTCCAAGTGACGGTAGAGGTTTCTCTTTGCCGTCTCATTCTGCGCCTTCATCTGCTCCAGAAGTTTGTACAGCGAATCGGCGGTCTTCATGTTGTGGTTGCTATCCATGATGAAGACGCAACTGATGGGGACTACCAGAAAGCATCAGTGGGCATCAGAAAATGGCGCAATTTAGGTGAAAGAAAAGTGTTATGAGCAGATAGTGAGTGAGGGAGAGAACGGAAAAAACAAAACACGATTGCAAACTCCCGAGTGGCGCAGTGCTACAAGAGACAGGGCAGTGGGGAGCACGTACTGCACTGCAACTGTGCCCTGTAGCCCAACGGTGCTTCCCTTCAGTGCGCAATGTTACTTTATCGGTGACTGGCGACGGGTGGTCATCAGTGGCCCCCTACTCCCCATCAGCAGCCTACTGATTGCGACATGTGAAAGGCAACAAAATAATTGATAAGAGTACTTTCTGATTATTTGTTTCCTATTTTGCTGAGTACTTTCGCGATCTTCTCCTTCTCTACAACAAGTGCAGCCGAACCTCTGCTGTGGTAAATGCTGATTTTTGTCTAAAAGTGGGGAACATCCACCACTGAGAAACCTCCTCAATGATGCTTGCCACAGTTCTTTTAAAAGGGTTCTCACTTGTGATTGGCGCCATCGTGCTCATTCGCGTTCTTCTGCTGAAGCTGCGAAAACGGCCGCACTCAAAGGAAGCCTATGATCGCTTTCAGGACCAGGTTGTTTTGGTCACGGGCGCATCTTCTGGCCTCGGTGAGGAGCTGGCAAAAGCATTCTATCAACATGGTGCGAAAGTAAGTGTTGACACAAGCTAATACTGACTATACAACCGATGACTAAATTGTACCCGTTCAGGTGATCCTCGCTTCCCGGCGTCGTGAAGAGCTGGAACGTGTGAAGGGCGACCTACAGACGCTGCAACCACCACCCAACAGCGGTAGTTCGGGTGTGCGATTCCACGAGCCGAAGATTGCCATTCTCGACCTGGGCACCGAAGACAACGACCAGCTGGAAAAGACCGCCNCGACCTGGGCACCGAAGACAACGACCAGCTGGAGAAGACCGCCGAGGAGATTGTCCGTCTGCACGGGCACATTGACATTCTCGTGAACAACGCGGGCATCAGCTCTCGAGCGGCAGCACTGACCACGGCGATGGCCGTCGATCGACAGCTGATTCTGGTGAACTACCTCAATCAGATTGCCCTCACCAAGGTGGCACTCCGGACGATGGTGCTCAAGCAGGACAGCAGCAGCATCAGTGAGCGCGGTCACATCGTCTGCATCAGCTCAGTGCAGGGGCGGATGGCCATTCCTGGTCGGTCGTCGTACAGTGCCTCGAAGCACGCCGTCCAGGCCTACTACGACTCGCTGCGCGCCGAGCTGTCCGCCCTCTCCGCAGAGGACGCCGCCTCCCGCCGTCCGGTGGACGTCACGGTGATCTCCCCGGGCTACATTCGCACCAACCTCTCACTGAACGCCATGACCGGCGACGGAAGGAGGCACGCCCGCATGGACGCCACCACTGCCGCCGGTCTGGAGCCGTCGGTGGTGGCGGAGCGAGTGCTCGAGGCAGTGCTCAACCGGGAGGCAGATCTAGTCCTCTCGCCGCTGCTGCCCAAACTGCTCATCATCGTGCGAGCCCTCTGTCCGCCGCTCTACTTTCTCGCCATGAAGGTCTACGCAAAGAAGCAGCACTGAACAAAGATGAACCTGCTTGCTGACCGTCCTTTGTTTGTTTTTCATAGATTTATATGCTTTTGTACATTAGCAGTGTTGGTGATAAAACAAGAAAAGAGTTAAGAGGAAGTGTTACATCCATTCAAGCGGAATAAGAAATGCACTGTGTGAACTGATCGCCTCTGAGAAGAAGTTGTGGAAAGGGGTACCGAAAATCACTCACACACCAAGAGATACAAAAGTGGAAGGACTACCGAAGTGGGAGGGAAAAGTGAGAGCATTCATTTAGAGCTAGTAGATAGAGAGGAGATTGTAGTTGATATATACCTTCAGAGACAATATAGGAGAGAGAGAGAGTACAGATATTATAAAGCACTAAGGTTGAATGGTGGTGGGGGTGGTCGAGGTCATGCAAATGATGAGGGTGATTCTATTCGATCGCCGAACTGTGTGTGTGTGTGTGTGTCTGCCTGATTGTGGCTTGGAACATTTGTACAGAAGGGGTGAGGAGCCATTAGGAGAGGTGAGAAACGAGTGTACTGCCTCCGCCAAATGTTTTGTTCAGCCTGTTCAGAACACGGCAAACTTCGCCAGACTGGTCGACAGTGAACCACCGACCAGTGAGCTCTTGAAGAGACGGAAAACGGAGACGGCGAGGGCAATGAGACTGACGGCGGCCTTCAGCCAGTTGGCCCGTCGGAGTTGTCGGTCGGAGCGACGGCGAAGAATAACCGGACTGACCTTCGCCAGACTGCCCTTCTCCGCTGCACTGGCCGTCGCGGCGGCCGCCGGGTTGGTCATCGTGTTGAGGTACTCGGTGCTGGTGACCAGTGAGACGTTGTCGGAGAAGGGCGGCAGCTGTTTGGTGGCCAGCAGCCGCGCCCAGGCGTCGGGACTGCGGTCGACGGCGTAGCTGCTGCAGATGTCCGACTGCCAGCTGAGGGTGTGCACGGTGTTGGCGGCCAGCGAGGCGGCCAGCAGGGAGAACTGCGCCACGGGGCGGTCGGCGAAGAGGCCGCAGGCGACGGAGCCCAGGCCGGTGACGATGGAGGCGC